TGCTGAATGCCTTTACTGTCTTACCATTTCATCAAGGGTGGGTTCAAGTTGGTGATGAAAAGAAAATGTGCCCTGAAAATTAACAGGGAGTTAATGTCTGCCCTCCAAATTTGTACAAAGTTTATGTGGATAAGTGACCAAAACAGTCACTAGAAGGCTTTAGAGATACCTTTGTATAATTATTAAATGAAATGAAAGGGTAGTAATGCATTTTTAAAAAGTGACAATTTTCTATATAAAGAGAAAATTTGGTCAGGATTTGCATAGCCATATGCAACAGTTTTCATATGCATTTGTGACAGGGGGGGGGGAGGTTAACATTTGAATGGCAAGATGTGGGTGTGTGCAGCTCCTGGTGGCTTTAACATGGGCACATAGGGTATGATGTTACTTAATTGGTTGCATGTAGTGTGGAAATTAAGAGACACAAATGTAGATTGTTTACATTGATGAACTTTATCAACATTATCAAGAGACAAGAGCTTGATCATGAAAGTAGAAAATATCAGTGAATGCAGGGCTTTGCATACTAAGGCATAAGACAGTTAAATGCAGTGCTAAATTCGTGTTAAAGCTGTACCTGTTATGACTGGTTAAAGATCAAATCAGTTCATACCTTTCTGCGTGTTTGATTGCATGAGCTCTTGTGGATGGACTTTTAAGTGGACACTGTGTTAAATACTGACATACATTTTGACCCAAACAAACTGACATAATCAGTTTGCTTTTTTCAAAGATCTAGGTCTAGACACTGCCAAGCTCAGTACCTGGAGGTCAGGGCCTAGCAATGTCCCATTTCCCGAGAGTTCATGCTCATGCTGCAGTATGAAGTATCTATCATTGTCATCTCATTAAATTAATATGCCAAGCATTAACCTGTTGTACTCCATATCTGCTTATCACACAAGACCCAAGTAACATGACTTTGCCAACCAAAACATTGAGATCACGCCTCAACTGTACTGGAACGGTACAGCATCGTCCCCTTGCATCATTCTGTGATTTCTCATTCTGATTTTGAAGTCGATGTTGGTCTGTATGACATATGACAATTTGGAGCCCTTGCATTTGGCATGCTTTTGGAAAAACAGTTGCATGGGAAAGATAGTGATATTTGCTGTTTACAAGCAGCTCCCACCAGCTTTGCTGCACCGAGGGTCATCGATGCTGGCAGTGATGCCACCTGTGATGTCACGTTTACTTGTGTTGCAATAATTTGAAGCCAATCCCATGTAGCGCAGTTGTGTAAGTTGTTAAACACTTGTGAATCACACGGACACATTGATCATACAACGCTGTTCTTCGCACTCAGGGCATCTAGATCTCATCTAGTTGTAGTCCCTGCTCGCTTTATTGCTCACATAGCTAACACCCTTGGCTCTTTGCTGTACGGACGGCGGAGCTACAAGGACACCAAAGACGTCTGTATAGCATTAACCCCAGCCGCATTTCATAGCTCTGCTTCTCAATAGTGTTAAGCCGTCTTTTTTCTTACATTCCAGCGCACGCATCGACTGGTATTGTCCGGCGTGTGTGATGCTGCCGCATCGTTTCTCTAGCTTGGTGATGTTTTTAACGATTTGGCCTTTGCGTAACGCGTTTCCCTTACATATAAGAACGAATGTCACCTTTTCAAATATAAAATACGTTCCCTCGCGTGTCCGCCGTGGTCGGCGGCGGTATCGGCCGGGCCTGAATTTACGTCTTAGATCATAACGACGATGAAATTCGTACGCTCAAAGGTCACGGTAATCTGCGCAGTCGTCTTTGCTGCGCATTGCCGTCTCAATAGCTCCGATGGCTACTGTGCGTGCTACCACACATGGTGGGGTGGGGTCGAGTCAGTTCAGGCACTCGCTAATTAGTCCTTCACAGATATGGTTTTGGGCCGGTGGCGACGGCCGCTCTTGAGGTCAAGCGACGTCGGAGGGCAGGACGGGTCGTGTCAACCAAAACAGAACGTTAACCTTTCAACTCCATATTGTGCTTTTGATCTGGAACTAAGCGATCGGATGGAAGGGATCAGGACTCACACAGCAAGCGCTGTTTAGGGTGAGCGCCGGTTCCAGAAATCCCTCCATTTTGTCTAAGGTTTGGATTATATATTTTTTAACGCGGGCCGACAGACAGCCAAACGTTCTCTTTGATACACGTTCAAACGTACGAGTACGTATGATGCGACAGACGATACATGGCATACGGCACATGTTGCTCTTCCAAGCGAGGCAACGACTCATTTAATGCATCCACTGGGCAACCTTTATGCTGTGTGCAGACGAAGCTTTTGCTTCAAAAACTTATACCCGTCATTATCTCTTCTGCAAAAACTGAAGTAGCTATTGCTTATGCACGGTATTACATCTGCCGCAACGACTTAACCGGACATTAGTATTGAAACAGAGACTTGTGGTGGAGACTCTTGTAGAAGTATTGTCTAGTTTAGGTTTTTGCATCATAAGCTGCGCATTGTAGCACCGATATCCCGCATGAGCTTTTGGAGCAGAAGTAATGCTGCGCAGAAGTGGAGACCGGATAAGTTCTTGCACCGGGTGTTATGATGCGAATAAGTTTCTGGGGCATAAATTGTGTTGTGTAGCACTGATGTGGCTGATAACTTGTTTACAGCAGAAGCATCGTCACATATAAGTAAAGTCTGTATAAGATTTTGCAATGGAAGTAATGTCGCGCATGACGGATGCTGTAGTTCTCCTGTCCGTAGGAGTTTTTGCCTTGGCACAAATGTCGTGACACCTCGTGAGTGGTAGCATCTCGTGATACAGTGTCGTGAGCGGTGTCATTACAGGGATCATATGATGTCATCGGAGCGAATGAATCAAATGAAATGAATAAATGAAAAGAATAACAAGGCATCAAGATTTTAGTTGCTTGCAACTTAATTTTTCGCGGCTTCCCAGTAGAATCAGCCTACTTTGCTCATGTGTCGTCATAAACCAGATGCAGCGGCTCTCAAAATGTTGCGGATGAATCGAAACCTTCAAACATCTTTTTCGCCTTGCAACGCCACATGGGCCATGATAAAATTTTCTCCGGAGCTGGAGAGTAGGTCCCAGGTGTTGCCGAAGTAGGTGGCCGCCATCGCTGCCCCTCACCGGTTCCCGTGCACCCGTCATAAAGCGAATTCCGTAGCCTTTTGTAGACAGTATCAGTCGAGGCGACATGCCTAGTGCGTATATGGTCAACTCTGCATTAATTGAGTGATGCCCCTCCCGGAAGTGTAGCCGTTAGCATGCCAGTCTCATGTCACGATGGACCATAGCTGCAGTCGTTTCAATTGACATCACCGCAGGAGGCCGATTCCTGTCCGATGTGTTGAATTTTCTGGTAGGGCTGGGAAAACCGCGCTGTCTGCCGCTGTAATACTTTGTGTGCCGGTTTTAAATTCCCGGTACTATTAGGTGACAGACAGAGACAAACTCATAACAGTATGGCACACTTCGGTGGCTGGCTCGGTGCCAGACAGCGAACTGTGCTCGGCCAGCAGGGTACGACAAATGCCACATAAATAAGAGCATAACCAAAGAATATCAGTGCTGTGAGGAACTTCCGATGCTGGATGTGCCAAAAATGGCATCGTTTTCGTGTTGTTCTAGAGGGCAAGATGTGCAAGCTGTGAGCATAAAAATATGGGATGTGCAATCGTCTGGTTTTGTTCGTCTCGTGAAATATTCGCATTCGTATTTTATCGTCGTCATGAAAGGTCGTTTTCGAGCTGCAAGCGGTTTGATAAGGTTGGAGGCGCTTGTTGGAGCATCCTGTGCGCCGTTGCTTACTGTCAACTGCTGTTTCAGGCAAGACAACGAAAACATGATGGAGATTGCTGAGAATACTGGCGCACAAACACCAATAAAGCCACAGCAGTAAGTTCACGATACGATGTATTGTCCTGTTTTGGAAACCGTCATATGCGTGCATGAGCCGTAATTGTCCCCTGCAATTTTGACCTAGTCATCATAAGCGGCCTCTTCATACCTCTGTTGGATCAGATGATAGCATAAGAAGTGTCTGTTATCCACGCTGCTGTTATTTTGGCTGCGTATATATATATATATATATATATATATATATATATATATATATATATATTCGAGTGCTTAAGCAGTATGCTTTCATCAATGTCAGGTTTGCTATATGCAAGGCCAAATGTACATTAAGTCAGGTTCTTGCGCGTTTGCTCGATTGTTCGAATGAAATCGTTCGGTGTTTTCGGTAAGTCACAACTCAATTCGCCTATAATTGTTTATATTAGTATTAGTTTAAGCTAGCTGACATTTCTTGAACACTCGCTCCTCATTCACAAAGCAATGTTAGACGGCCGGACGGAAAACATTCAAATTTGGTGAAATACGAGACGTGAGGCATACCCTTTGGTGAACCACCAGTTAACAGATTATGCAACAGAACATCCTGCCAAATTACAAAACCCATTCGAACACACGCACATCACTTTTCCAGCCAGTTTGATACAATGGAAAGTTAAAGGTATCGAATCACCCCGCTGTCATTGGGTGACTGAACAGGTTTAGAGTGATGCATGACCTAGGCTGCTTGTTTAAGTGAAGACATTCTTTCTTTGATGAGGATGACTTCGAGAACTTGTAAAGGGCGTCTGTTTGGACATAACTTTAGAGTCAGTGTGTCTTCAGCCAGGTCGGAACGTAGGAGTTTTTATTGTGGGTCCTGCGCGTATGTTGGTCTAGCGCTCCCCCCTGCAGGTACGTTGCATGCGTCGTGATAGAGCTGTCGTAGTCATTCCAATAAAGGTGGAGTTGCGGAGCCGGTAGTGTCCGTACGGGTGTTTTAATTCTATAAATTATATCTAAATCGATAAATCTCTTAAATTATAAAATTATCTATAAAAGGCCGCGAGGGGTTATTGCGCGAACAACACTGGTAACAGTTCACACTTGTGCTGACAGTCGCTTTGGTAGTTAAACCGATGCCAAAAAAATGATCCAAAACATTCCGATCCATACTGCGGTATGCAGCCAAACCTGGAGAGTCCGGTCGGGCCCCGTCCCTGCTGTGTCACGCTGTGCGTGTGCGGTATGGTATGTCTTGCGTGGTTGCGCGCCTTCGGCGTCTGCTGTCCGGATTCAGTGTTTGGCCCGTGGTGGGGCCGTCTGCTGCCCGGTCCTGTGGCCTGCCTGACCGGGGTTTCTGCTTGCACATCTGTCGACCCACTCGGCCTCTGACGCGGGCGGTCTGCTGCCCAGTCCTGTGGGCCCATCTGATCCGTGTCCGCCTGCCCAGTCTATCTGACCACTCGGCGGCCCGTCTGACCGGGTCGGCTGCTGGCACGGTCCCGTGTGGGCCGTCTGGTCCGGTGTCTGCTGCACGTTCCGTGTGGGCCCGTCCTGACCGGGCTGTCTGCCTGCCCAGTCTGTCTGACCCGCTCGGCCCGTCTGACCGGGTCGTCTGCTGCCCGGTCCTGTGGGGCCGTGCTGGTCCGGTGTCTGCTGCCCAGGTTCGTGTTGGGCCCGTCTGACCGGGCTGTCTGCTGCCCAGTCTGTCTGACCCGCTCGGCCCGTCTGACCGGGTCGTCTGCTGCTCGGTCCGTGTGGGCCCGTCTGACCGAGGCGTTTGCTGCCGCAGGCCGCAGCCGGGTGTGCCGACCCCGTCGGAACACCAAACCGAGCTGGACGAGGATGCGACCGAGTCGGCCGCCGCCAACTACTACCAGTCCGACTTCAGGCAGGCGTTCGGCGGCGGCGGCGGCGGCGTGCTAGACGGCTACGGCCCGCCGTCCGGCTACGGCGGGTCGGCCGGGCCGTACCGGCCGGCGGAGCGGGCGCTGCACGAGGATCCGTACAGCTTCACGGACGACTTCAGCGAGCCGGCGGGCAAGCCTCCTGGGCAGCCGCCGCCGCCGCCGCCGCAGCCGTCGTCGCCGCCGCTGCTGCCCTTCCACTTCCCTAAAAAACGCGGCCGCAAGCCGAAAAAGCTGCTGGAGGCCATGTAAGCGGAGCCGTGCGGCGTCGATCAATAACGGCCGACGGCAGGCGTGAGAGTGCGCGCCGCCTCCGGCGAGCAGAGTGGCTCCGGCTCTCTCACGCCCCCGTCATCTCCCCAGGCCCCCGCCCCCGCCTCCGCTCTCGCCATCTCTCCACGCCCCCGCCCCCACCCGTGCCCCCCGCTCCTGACATCTCCCCACTTTGCTGCCCCCGTCATCTCCCCCGGGACCCTGCCCCCGTCATCTCCCCCCCCCCCCCGTTATACCCCCTCCTCCCCCCCCGCCCCCGCCCCCGCCCCCGCCCCCGCCCCCGCCCCCGCCCATGTCATCTCTCCGCGCCCCCGCCCCGTCATCGCTACACTCTCCCGCCCCCGTCATCTCTCCATTCCACCGCGCCCGGCCGGCTCCTGAGAATACGCGGGTGAAGCCGCTAGAGCGGCGCCTGTCGGGGTCGAAATTTGCTTCACGGGAGACGACGCCAAAGTCGCGGCTCCTCTTATTGTGTCCCTAAATCCCATTGTATAGTGCGTATGCCAGAACTGTCACGTCCTTGCGTCAGAACTGTCACGTCCATGTGCCAGAATTGTTATGTCTTGGATTATTCCCTGTGCCTGTGAAACGCACATCACACCGCAGGTCGGTCCCGCCGCTGACCGAAAAGTATCCGGCTATTTCGTGTTTTTCCAAGTAAGAAGTGCGCCTTTCAAGCACACTGAGCACAAGAATGCCGACCCCGTCGCGCACCGCTCCAGTGGTTCCGCCCAGTCGATTCTGAGTAGCCGGCCGAGGGCGGTGGAGTGGAGAGATGGCGGGGCGGGCGTTTGAGAGCGACTCCCGCCTCTCACGTTTTTTTCTCCTCCGGGCGGCCATTGATTTCGTATGCTGAAGCTGCCTTTGCCGGGGGGAGGGGGGAGGGGAAGTGGGAGGACGGCGCGCCATCGTCATTAACGATTTCTTGAAGGTCGGCTGTGGCCTACCTGGTATCATTTAACGCAGGCGTTCTTCTTCACACGCCCACGTCCGCGGGTGGATGGTTCCGTTGCTGCTCGGTCGCTGTCTCCGGGAAGTGGACAGCGCCGACAGCCTCAGGTCGCCTGTGTCTCGCGTGTGTGCCGACCCTGGCGGTCCCGCCTGTCCGATCCTGATAGCAGCAGCCGTCCCCGTGCGTTTCCCTCCCGCCGGCCCACCGCCCCGCACAGCGGCCGTACCAGCTGCCTGACCCTACCACCGCATCTCCGTCCAGGGCGGCCGCCGGCATGGAGGTGCCCAAGTATAAGACACCCGTGCGCAACACGGACCCGAGCAAGCCGCGCAAGAAGCACGACCGCTTCAACGGCCTGTCGGAGGAGGAGCTCTCCAAGCTGACGCTGCCCGACCACCTGGCGCCTGGACTCGACATCGTCTTCGTGAGTGGCGCTTGTGGCGGGGTCGCTTCGCTCTGGACACCCCGTGCCGCCGGCGTCAGTCTGCGCGCGGCCGGCTGGGCTTCCGGCGCGCTGTGGACGGCCAGGCTACTCCTAAATTCTGGTGGTGGTGGTGATGATGGTGGTGGGGCGGGGAAGGTCGCCAGGGCGGTAAGGTCTCATTCTGTAGCATATCCCGGTGCGAGCTGTCAGGGATATCCGTGCGATTGTTCACAAATAGAGTAGGATGCGTACGGAGAAGCGTAATGCGATGGCTGGATGAACCTGGCCGCGTGGGCCCCGGCAGCAGCGTTGCCAGTTCCGAGTCCTGGAAATGAGATCCTTCTTATGGGGTGCGGGGATGGTTTCGTCGCGCCCCCACGTGAGCGGGCATTGCCCAGCTGCGGGCGTCACGGCAGCACGGCGGTGGACGCGGCGGCGGCGCAGCTAGCGGCAGCTGTGAGACCCTCTGATCGGCGGCTTGAGCTGCTGCTGCTGCCACGGCGTCGTCCCCAGCAGCCGCGGACGTTCTGGGCACTGGGGATTGCCGCACTGGGATCGAGACAGTCCCAACTTCCGCGGCGGCAGAGCCGGGACATCCTGACGTTTGCGGCTTCTGGGTCGGGACATCCGGGCGTCTGCGGCTGTCGGAGCCGGGACATCCGGGCGTCTGCGGCCGCAGAGCCGGGACGTCCTGCCGTCTGGGGCTGTCTGGGTCGGACCACGGCCGCTGCCGCCGCCGCTGACGGCGGACAATAGGCAGCCGCTGATAGCAGCCCTCCCCCTGCCCTGCCCCGCCGCTGCTCGTCTGGCCGTGACGGGCGCGCGCAGAGCCATCTAGCGTGCGGAGGCGGAGGCTGCGTTGGGTCGCGCGGCGGCCGCGCTGAGATGAGGATCGATTGCCATCGAGCGGCCGGGCCGACGGCCGCCGTGCCCGCCGCGCCGGCATCACGGCCCGGCGGGCTTTTACGTTTAGTGCTCGCCAACACCGTTGCGTCATAAGCGGAGTCACTGATGGCTACAAGCATTTCATTTCATTATGCCTTGAAATACCGGTTTGTTTGGAAATCATCCCTCACTTCCCACTTCTTCTTTGCTTTACAGGCTTGTGTTATTTGTTCCTTTCTGTTGATTGTATGGCTTGATCAGCAGGTGACCCATTGATGACGTAAAAGGCCGAATTTCGCTTGTGCTGTGCAGAGAACGAACGAGTAGGACATTACGACCATGCTCGTTACGGCCACGTGAGTGAAAACGCATGTGAGCCCGGATTTCTAGGAATGTTGAACGGGCGCTAAATGATCCCACCTCCACAGTTAACGAAACCTAAATGGTTAATCATCTCATGAAAGAACGAGGACTTATATTAGCTGACGCAATGACTTAATTCGGCTGTGAAATGGTAAAGTGAAATGTCCCCTGACTATTCGAGCGTGAGGTCAGACATTCTGGCAAATCCCGGAGCAGACATCCGGGTAGGGTCTGGTGGCGCGAGGCTCGCCAGCCACGAGAGTGTCGTCCCCCGCATGTCATCAGGTCACACGCGGTGGTCGGGTGCTGGGTTCGTGCCTCTCTATGGCGCGCCAACAGATTGCCTCCGCCCGCAGATCGGCATCAACCCGGGCCTGTTCGCCGCCTTCAAGGGTCACCACTACGCCGGCCCCGGCAACCACTTCTGTGAGTGTGCCGCTGCGCCCGGCCCCGGCCCCGGCCCCGGCCCCGGCCCCGGCCCTGTGCTTGCCCGACGGGGCTCCGGGAACCGGGCGGCGGAACTCCATCGACTAGCCGAGTCCCGCCGCCGGCATCAGCCCCAATCTGACCGGTGCTATTGGAGCTGTACGACGCACTCTGCTGATGAGGCTATGTGCTGTCGCCTGCCTCTCACCCAGGCAGAAAGGGCGGGCACCGCGAGGAATCGCACCCCGCACCTCTGTTTTCCCAGACGCGCGGCTAGATCACTGCTTTATCAGGTCCCCAATCTGAGCACTGTGCTCCCTCCTGCACCAAGGCACTCCTCACTTCCCACCACTCCGCCTTCGGCTCAGCATTGATCTCATTGTTCTATTAGGGTGCCGATAGTGTAGTGGTTAACGCGTCTGCGTTAACCGCTGCACGCCTGGGAAACCAGAGGTGCGGGGCCGGATTCCCCGTGGTGCCCGCCCTTCCTGCCAGGGTGAGAGGGCAGGTGACGCCATTTAGCGTCAGCAGCTGAGTGCGCCGTAAGGCCCCAACTCACTGTACTTCACTTCAACTTCACTCTATCCCAGTCCGTTGGCTGACGTAGTTTTCATCGCGCATGTCATAACAGATGACTCTCACGGGTTATGTCGCTGCGATGGCTGCCATGTCCTCCGAACGCCGGCGGGCCCCAAGACCTGGTGTTTTGTCTTCCTTTAAGTGTGATAATCCGTACTCATCCAGCACTAGTGTCCCGGTCCCATGTCGTCTTGTTGGCGTCGGCTTGCCTCCGGCCGAGCCCGCCTCCGACCTCCCGGAGGCGGGAGGTGGGGAGGTGTGTGCTGAGCGGACCCTGACCGTCGCCCGCCGTCCTCCGTAGGGAAGTGTGTGTACCTGGCGGGCCTGATTCCGGAGCCGCTCGGCGCCGAGGACGACTTCCGGCTGATCGAGCTCAAGATCGGCTTCACCAACATGGTGTCGCGCACCACCAAGGGCAGCCAGGACCTGACGCGGCGCGAGATCAAGGAGGGTGCGTGTCCATTGGCGTCGCCGTCCGGGGCTAGCACGGCTGGCGGCCGAGGCGGTCGGCTGGCGAGGGCTGGGGGCCGTCGGCGTTGTGCGCATCCTTTCGCCGCAGTTTTAGAAATGTGCTTTCGTTTGGTATCGGTAGATCGGCCGTTATTTGATGTGATGATGCGTTCGTCGGAGATTTGGCCCTGGATAGAGGCGGTGTGAAGTTGAGTTACGCTAGGCTCCAGGCTTCTGCCGAACCTTGTGTTCAATTTTTTTTTTCAAGCTTATCATATTGTTACAGAGTCGCAGATTTCCTAAGGCACGGTGAAAGCATGCTGACAGTCTAGATATGTTGCATGTAGAGATGGTTAGTTGTTTTAGAACGCATTTGACTACAGACTGGTAGCTCGTCGCTGGCTGCGTAGGCACCCTTTTCCCTAAAATATACCGACTGCCATTGCACTATTTTCAAAGTTGTGGTCACTTTCCGTTTGTGTGGTCTCTTTCTTTTGGCCATAGGATTTTGTTTACGCTGCGATGATTCTGCAAAGTTTTGGTCTCGAAAAGGAATTTGCCACCTTTGGGGCGTACGTCAAAAGCAAACTCGAGTAAACCTCAGGACCTGGTGACCTAACCAATAATATTGGGGCGCGCCCTGCAGCACCAACCATATGTAACAAGCGAAAGAATCGTACTTAATCTCGAGTCAAAATTATGCAGTCAGCGTTTCGCCCCAGCACTAGACTGTTGTTTATAACCTTAGATTTCGTTTCTGATCTCTCTGTCTCGGACCCGGCGATCATGGCCCATACAAGGCGTATAAGTGAGACATGCACTATGCCATCTGCGGCTGCATAGCGATTTCACGTTGATGTTATTCCAAACAGGCATGAAACTCAGCGTCAGTTCATAGCGTCATGTCCAGAGGCAAGGCGCAGAAGTGGAAACACCCCAGCTGTTCGTGATTTGCTGCTGAAAGTTGAAAACCTCTTCTGAGTACGAGTATTTTTGTTCATGGAAAAGGAAATTAGGAAGTTTTGTTGTCGGCTCAGTTCCTTTGACTATATGTAGTGTCTCGTTTCAGGCGGAAAAGTATTACTCCAGAAGCTTCAAGTGTTTCAGCCCAAGATAGCCGTATTTAATGGCAAGGGCATCTTCGAGATATTCTCCGGGAAGAAGGAATTCTTGTTTGGAAAGCAGCCTGAGAAGATCGAGGGAACTCAAACGGTATGTCTGAGTAGCGTTTGTCCTGTGGTCGCCCACAGCTGGTTCTTCTAGTTTGTTGCATCGCGGCTGATTCCCATACATTCGTTTCATATCGCGTACCCCGTAACGTTCATTGTTTTGGCTTCAAGCTGTGAACAGTGACTGCGACACGCTCTACGTACGGTGATATGACCTAGAGACGGTGCGGTGCGTTTTTGGGCCGTTTGCCGTAGCAGCTAGCCCGTGCAGCCTCCAGCTAGCCTGACGACGCTCTGTGCCGGCAGAACATCTGGGTGATGCCGTCGTCGAGCGCCCGCTGTGCCCAGCTGCCGCGCGCGCTCGACAAGGTGCCCTTCTACTCGGCGCTCAAGAAGTTCCGCGACCACCTGAACGGTGAGATCGCCGAGCTCGACGACTCGGAGATCACGTTCGAGCCGCCGAAGCCGCACCTGGCGCGGCGAGAGAAGACGGCGCCGGCGGCCGGCGACGGGCCGCCGCCGGCGCCGCCGCCGCCCGGCGAGCCGGCCGCCGAGGGCCTCACCGTGCCCATCAAGAAGAAGCGCGGCCGGCCGCGCAAGATCCGGCTAGACGAAAACGGCGTGCCGCTGCCGGTGACGGCCAAGCCGCGGCGCGCGCCGCCCGCCGCCGCCGACGGCCAGAAGAAGCGCGGCCGCCCCAAGAAAGCCAAACTAGAGTCGGAGCCGGCCGCGCCGCCGCCGCCGGCCAACGGCGCGCTGCCGTCCATGTACGAGCTGACCAGGGGCGAGTCGCTGAACCCGGCGCTCAGCGGGCTCGGCATGAACGGGCTGACGTCGGCCGGCTACCCGACCGGCTTCCGACACGGCTCGTTCTCGCCGCCGTACGGTCTGCACCAGATGGCGCCGCAGCCGCAGCCGCCGGCCTACCTGCAGCCGCACGCCGGCCGGCCGGACGACAGCGGTGGCGCCGGTGCCGGCGGCGGCCACTATCAGCCGGAGCCGGCGACCATGTACCCGCCCTACGGACGGCCGCCGCCGCAGTCGCAGTCGCCGTCAGGGGCGTACCCGCCGGCGCTGGGCGGTGGTCCCGGTCCCGGCCCCGGTTCCGGCCCTGGTCCTGGTCCCGGTCCTGGTCCTGGTCCTGGTCCCGGTCCTGGTCCCGGTCCTGGTCCCGGTCCCGGTCCTGGTCCTGGTCCCGGTCCTGGTCCCGGTCCCGGCCACCACTACGCCCACCCGCAGTACGGGCCGGCGGCGGCCGGCAGCCACTACGGCCACTCGCCCGGCAGCCAGTACGGCCAGAGTCCGGCAGCGTCCGGTGCCTACAGTCAGTCACCGGCCGCCCAGTACAGCCAGTCGCCGGCCGCGCAGTATAACCACTCGCCGGCCGGGCAATACAACCAGTCACCGACGGGCCAGTACAACCAGTCACCGACGGGCCAGTACAACCAGTCACCGACAGGGCAGTACAATCATTCACCAACTGGGCAGTACAACCAGTCCCCGAGTGGCCAGTACAACCAGTCGCCGAGCGGGCAGTATAACCAGTCGCCGAGCGGGCAGTACAGCCAGTCACCGGGCGGCGGGTACACGATGTCGCCGGCCGCGCAGTACGGCAGGTCGCCATCGGCTGGCTCCGGCTACCGGCAGAGTCCAGGTGTGCTGAGCGCGGCCAACCCGGGCTCGCCGGCCGTCAAGAAGGGCTCGCTGACGACCGAGGCGGGTTCGGACGAGCCGAGCCTCGGCCTCACGCCGCCGCCCAGCTCTCCCTCGCTCGACCAGCCCGACTTCGAGGCGCCCGCTTCGATGCTGGCGCCGGAGGCGACGGAGCCCGGCGCGCTGCTGCCGCCAGGCCAAGGAAGAGCCGGCAGAGCTGACCGCCTCCTCGGCCAGCCAGCCAAGCTTCTCCGGCCCGAGCACGCCGGCCGACGCGCCGGCCACGCCGTTCCCGGCCGCTAGCGGCGCGCAGGCGTCGCCCGCGCACTACGCGTACGGCTCGGCCGGCGGGGCGCAGGCGGGGCCCCTCGACTTCTCGCAGCAGCAGCAGCAGCAGCAGGCGGCGGGCGGGGGCGAGTACGCGGCGGCGGCGGCGGCGGCGGCGCAGGCGGCCGTCAAGGCCGACCTGGCCACCAAGTCACTGTCGGACCTCGAGTCGCTGGTGGATCAGATCCCAAGCTTGAACAGCGCCGACGGCCTGCTGGCGGGCGCCGCACACCCGGCGCACCCGGCGCCGCTGCGGCCGACGCCCGAGCACGCGGCCGCGCCGCCGCCGCCGCCGCCGCCGCCGCCGCCGGCCGCGCCGCCGCTCGCCGACCCGTACAGTCCGCAGCCGGGTCGGCCCGGCTCGGCCTACTCCAGTCCGGGCGGCCAGTACGCCGCCGCCGGCTACGGCGCAACGTACGGCGGCTACGGCGCGCAGCAGCAGCAGGCGTACCCGGCGGCGGCGGCAGCGGCCGGCAGCTACCCCAGTACAAACTTCTCCGTCATGTCGCTGGCGAGCAGCAGTGTGTCGTCGCCCTCGCAGCCGGCGGCGGTCAGCGCCAGCGGCGACGCCGGCCTCTTCTCCGTGTCCAGCCTCACCGCGCCGCCGTACAGCGGCGCCGCCGTGCCGGGCGCCGGCATGGGCAGCTTCTCGGCGGTGGGCAACATGGCGGGCGGCATGTACCCGTACGGCGCCTACGGCTCGCCGGCCGCCTACGGCTCGGCTGCTCCCGGCTTCCCGTACTCGGCGGCGGCGGCCGGCTTCCACGTGCCGACGCCCCGCTTCGCCTACCCGTCGCCGTACGGGGCGCCGGCCTACCACCAGGGCTACACGCAGCAGGCCGTGCTGGAACGCTTGAAACAGGAGCATATGGACATGCGCTTCGGCGGCTTCTAGTGCCGGTGCCGGCGGCGGCCACTGTGCGGCACCGCGCCGCTCGAGCTTCCAGCTGCGGCCGCCAGGGGCGCTGGCAGCGGCGCCCCATGCGCCCAGGCTGGCGGGGAAATGTGTGTTGTGAATCTAGTCAATGATGAACAAATCGATTTCCTTCCGGTAACTGTTCGTTTCTAGTCAATGGTGATAGTCGCGTTTAGTTGTTGTGTGATCACCTATTTCAATAGGGACCTACATTCAGGTTTTTAGTCGTGCTTTACGCTCGTGTTGAAAGCACCGGTTTTACATTATTGTCACTAGTTTTGTGTACAAACACCGTGCGCATTTGCTCTGACCCGCTCACATACACGTCAGGCAACGAATCATGGCCTAGTCGTCTCTAGTTTGATTGAACTCGCAATCACAGGGTATATATCACATCGCATGTGCTCTCTTTTGTGCCCATTCTATTCGCTCTTGTCAGCAGGTATGTCCATCTGTGAGTTTGACCGTGCATTGCCGCCCGGCGCTTACCCCCATTAATAGCATTGCGGCGGGCCGCACTGCGCGGTACGCGAAGTTTTTCGGTGACCGCATTCGCTGTTATTCTTTCACATTCACCCACATTGTTGTTTTGTACCTTTGTACATTATGGCTGTTTTCAGTCCGAGCGTGCCATGCTTGTCATATGGTTTGGCGCCTGTCTGAGCGTTTATATTTTTCATTGTCCGGCGCTTGCCGGGCGTTCGCCGGCCACTCGGTCGCCAGTGGCGGGTCCAGCTGATATCAGGCGCTGCCGGCGCCGCGGGCGCCGCCGCCGCCACCGTCGGCAGGGCCAGGCCCCGTGCCATACCCGCGGGCGGCTCCGTCTGTTCCCCGTGTCGCCCGACCGCCTAACGAGCTCCGTAGGCTGTAAGGCTTCGACAGCAATAGTGTTTTGATCTCGGCGTCCGGCTCCGCGGGCCGCGCCGTCGCCGCGGGGGCCGGGGCCCTGTCTCCGGCGCGCGCCGGGCGGCCGCAGCGCTGTCGGTGTGCGGACGCGCCGCCTGAGCCGGCCAGCGGCTCAGCTGCGGTGTGAGGCGCCGCGGCCGGCCGGCCGGCCCGACCCGGCCCGTCGGTGGCCGCGCGCCCGCGCCCGTCGGGCTCGCGGGGCCGAAGGGCGGGGCGCTCGGCCGGCCCCGCAGCCGGGTCGCCGCCGGCGAGGCCCACCCGCCTGTACATAGCCGACCCGGGGCGCCGTAGGCGCGTGACGCGCTTGTTGTAGAGCTGTCTGTTAGCCGAGAGACGCGTGCAATACGGGGCGGGTCGGCACCGGGTGCCAAAGGGGCGGTCGTGCTCCCTGTTGGGGCGAGGTGGCGCGCCACACTTGAATAAAACCATTTGCATCAACGGATGTCGCGTTTGCCGGGCCGTGTGGACTGAGTGGAGGTGTGCCAGCCTAGCCTCGGGGCAGGCGGGCAGCGGTCCGGCTGGTGGATGTCGCAGGGTTGGCGCTGGGCGCGAGCTTTCCGTGCTCGTCATTCATGCGTCGGTCTAGACGAGAAAGCGCACCCCGTCCCCGGCGAGATTACGGTTTGTGGCAAATCCGATCGTTCGCCTTTGCCCGAAGCCATGCAGACCTTTCTGGTGCATGATTAGCGGTGGCAGCCTGAACCGGTTTTGACAACGCGCGATGGATCAAACTTCACTCCCGCAGGAGCGCTCGGAGCAGCTCCTGGCCATGCACACGCGGCTTCCTGTGGTACGCGGTTCCTCGGGCCTCCGCTCCACAGCGACAAGTCTGTCCGATCGGGCAGCTTTCCGCGGTTTTACGGCTGAAAAACGGTCCATTTTAAGACTACTGTTCGTCCTAAAAAGTGAAGCGGTGATTGTCCTATCGTTCGGATTAGCTACGTGAAGTGAACTGCCTGAGTGTTATGTTCGGCGAAGCCCTGGCACAAGTCATAGCTCTACCCGGTAGCCCGGTGCCGCTGTAACAGTAAACTGTATGGTCTGCGAATGCGGCACTGGACCCTTTTCGTTACATTTTACCTTGTTGGAAGTTAGTTGAGAACATTATGATTTAAGATGCTTTCTTCACGTGAAGCTATGAAAACTGATGCAGGCCCTCAGAGATATACTGCCGTTTGGCAGTTTTGAGGTCTTGCAGGTACGCTTTCTATGGTTCTTTTTTTATTTCTCTGTTCTTTGTTTTTTGTTACTGACAACGAGATATGGAATTTCGGAAAAGGCTTCAAAGCTGAAAAGCAATGCCCTGCATTGTCTCCAGCACAAGCCAACAGCGAGTGCTCCGCTTGTAGACTACCTTTCAGAATGACCAATGACTGACCCCGTTCGGAATATCGGATCTTTTTCATATTGTCCCATACATTGTGATCTGTTTTCTCCATAAACACGCTTGATATGAACACACCGTGCACACTGAGATCAGTTCTTGCAATATGTGACTGACGATGCCGATATGCCCAGCTTATTTTGACATCCATCATGATCTATGGACATCGCAGTGTCATACGTAATAAATGTATTGCCGATACGCAGAAATGTGCACAGGACTATATCCAGGAATATATATATATATATATATATATATATATATATATATGAATATAAAATCAAGGGAGCAGGTCGACCTTGGTATGTCTCATTACATTCGATTCATCTTCCATATCGCTATATCAGCCATGCAGAGACATATCCTTTCGGTATCGATCCATCTCATTAATATCGCTCACGACTTATTAACAGGTAGGAGAGCTCTCATCAGCAGGACGTCTGCTCGCGGGCCCAGAAGCCGTCCTCGTATCCTCAGGGCTGTGCTCCTGAAGCGGTCCCCCTGTCCGGCATGCCGCAGCCGGAGCCGCCCTCCTCCGTGCCTTAGGGCTGTGCTCCTGAAGCGGCTCCCCTGACCGGCCTGCCGCGGCCGGAGCCGCCCTCCTCCGTGCCTCTGGGCTGTGCTCCTGAAGCGGTCCCGCTGACAGGCTCACCGCGGCCGGGGCCGCCCTCCTCCGTGCCCCAGGGCTGTGCTCCTGAAGCGGTTCCCGTGACAGGCCTGCCGCGGCCGGAGCCGCTCTCCTCCGTGCCGCGGCCGGAGCTCCTGAGGAGGTCCTCCTGACCGGCCTGCCGCGGCCGGAGCCGCCTTCCTCCGTGCCTCAGGGCTGTGCTCCTGAGCGGCTCCGCTGACCGGCCTGCCGCGGCCGGAGCCGCTCGCGCGCGATAATGCTATCGTGGCCGCCGAGGTGAGGAATGTCCCGGACTTTATTGCGGCCTCGGCGCGAGGCTCGGGCGCCGGTCAGGCCGACCGACCGCCACCGGATCCCCACAGGCGACGGACAGAGCGCGCGACGAGGGACGGCCAACTGGAAACGCCGGCAGACTGCAGCAGCCACAGCCGACAGACGGGCAGACTGCAGCAGGCACAGCCGATGGACGGGCAGACTGCAGCAGCTGCAGTTGACAGACGGGCAGACTGCAGCAGCTGCAGCTGACAGACGGGTAGGCTGCAGCAGTCACAGCCGACAGACGGGCAGACTGCAGCAGCCACAGCCGACAGACGGGCAGACTGCAGCAGTCGCGGCCGACAAACCGGCAGACTGGCAGTTGCAGTCGACGGACCGGCAGACTGTAGCGGTCGCAGCCAACGGGCCGGCAGACTGCAGCAACCCACAGCCGGCAGCTGCTCTGCAGCAGTAGCCTTTCACGGGCTAAGCAAACCAACGAACATCGATGTCTGTAAAAGTTACAGATTGCGCTGCTAGGTCTGATATATTTCAGAAAAATACGGCCATTCTTGGGTGAAGGATAATGCACGCCGTGTGTAGCAGTGACCACACCCATTTTTATGCATATATATATATATATATATATATATATATATATATATTGGTGTCGGTTTTTGATTCAAAGGTGCCTGTTTACTCCACCCTGCAGGCATGGCTGTCGGTAAGGCATAAGGGTCTCGGAAAAGCCTAGTAAATGCTTTAAAATACTAAAAAAGTGATATCTGTTTTTGCTTCCCATCTTCCATGCATGTTTTTTGACGCCCACTTTTGTCATACCTAGCTGTCTTTCACGGCATGGTAATGCCAAAACAAGGCGTAGACCCGTGTGCATGTGTAAAACTGTCCAACTGTGCTAGCTTTTGTGATGTAGGAAAACATTTCAACTTTGGGAAAAGTAAACTGGTCGGTAGGATGGACATGTGGTTAGCGGGCGGGGGTGGCTCTAAAAGCGTGGAGTGGCACAAACCAAACCCTGCCTGGGGAACCGTCTGCTGCCTTGCGGTCCGTCGTTGACATAGGCACAAGGAAAGAAGTGTGCGTGTCTCAAGTGTACATGTTGCAGCCGAAGAAGTGCACATGTCTCATGAATGTTCATACAATCTACAAATCGGTACGTCGGGACGATCTAGATGTATGCTTTCGGTATTGATCAACCGAATTACTTCCAATCACGATATAGCATTGGGTAGGGGTGATTGCGGTCAGATGTCTGTTACCAACCCTTAAATAAGTGTACTAATATTACTCCGCACTTTTGGGCGGCTGTCATGCACCGACGTTATGACGTCACCTTGCCATTATTGGCGATGGGCTGGCCGGCCAACCGCGAAATAGCGCTTCGTCGCGGTAAAGTACTACGTCCCGAGCACACCAGGGCAGTGATGGTGAATTGTCGCTCGTCTGGCTCGGGTCCGTGGGTGGCGCTCAGCGGCGGAGAACGTTCGGGACACTGGCACCAAGACGGGACGCTGCCTCTTGTGTAAACATTGCCTGGGCAGAGGGAGATACAAGTCACTTCCGTTTTGTGGGACGTCTCCCGAACTGGTCAGTGCATTGAAATGACGTTTTGGCTTCCTGAGCTTCGAAAAATCTCGCACCTGACCACAACTTGTAAGTTTTTCTCATATCAGGTTACGCTTCGGTGATGACCAATGACTATAGGTGTTCAAGTCATAGGCCATGGTGAATTAAATGTCGTGAATGACATCTGTCAAGAAGAGGTCACATGATGATATGATCGAC